ACTTTTTTAAGTGTCTAATGAGCTGCTTGCCTTTGTTCATTTTTGGGACTAGGTCATTGAATTGGATAAGGTATGTAAATTTACTTTGCCTTGTGGAGCACGTGTGCAATTACTCCCCCTGTTGCAGGGTCAGCATTCCCAGGTCTACTCTTATGCCTGCCTACAAATACAAAGCTCACTGCAGGAAAAGCTTTGAACCAGCAGACAGCCTTGCATTACCTTTGGTAAGTTGATGCCTTCTTGCAGATACTGATTGCACAACCCAGATTGGGCATGATCTCTGAATGATCTCTGGAGCGTGTGTGGTGGTGGGTGAGGTTCTGATCTGGGTTACTGACACAGCAAGAAAAGCTGTTTGTGCATGCTTCTGAGTTCACACCTTCATATAACTGGCATAAAATAAATAACTTATCTTCAGGTGCGTTATGATGAGGAAAAGAAAGTGCCATGTGTATACTGCTGGGACATCATTCAGCTGATCTGTTTCAAGCATCATGCCTGAGAGTGTTCTCTGATATCAGAGAGTTTAACAGACAGGTTTCTATCAAGAATCCACATTGTGTAGGGATCAGGCCAAATTTGTAGTGGCAGGGTTGGATTTGAAACTGTTTTTGTAGAGCTGGTCCTGTATACCAGCTGCTAGAGAATGCTGCAAGAAGTATAGTAGCCTTGCCTTGTAGTGAAGAGGTAGGAAGAAGCTTGGTTTGAGGTTTGGTGAACAGGATGAGTCAGCTGAGACAAGTTGAAGGAGGTCAGGTGTTTGAGTTTGCAAAGTGGGAGATTAGTTCAGAAATAATTAGCCAGAGAAAGGTGGAAGTTTTGCTATATTAGAAGAACCTTCTCTTTTCATATGAAGCTCCTCAAGAAATTAACTAACCTGCCATTGCCTCCCTGTGGAGGCATACTTAGAAAACGCTGCCATACTGCATTCTTCTATGTTCTCACAGCATTGCCTGGTTGGCTGGGAAAATACCATTCCTTCCAGTGACCCCACAGTCAGCAGTTTGGATCTGCAAGCTTCACTGAAAGAGAAACCTCACCATTCCCTCTCACCTGGTAAGGATAGCTTGTAAACAGTCGTGGAGATGTGAATTACATGTATAGGAAGTGTTGTTCTGACTCTCTTAAGAGTATGATAATCATCGATGGCTAAGCAAAAGAAAAAGCCTGGAAGATTTTTCTCATATCTCCAAAGAAAGGTTGTTCCCTGTGCTCTGTAAACTAGAATTCAAAAAAAAAAAAAAAAAAGCAAATGGAACTGGATAATAGCAGTGTGTAGAGAAAAGCCTGTTCAGCTCCACAAGTCTTCAGCAAAATAGGAGCAGTCACTTATTTGGCATTATTTGATTAACGATGTCTTCTTTTCCAGAACCTGGTGTCCAGAGTGTCAGGAGGAGCCAGAACTGACCAGCTTTTGAACCTGACCTCCTCAACACTCTTCAGATTAAGCAGTGCTTCTCAGCAGAGGGACCAAAACAAACATGGACATTGCAGAGCAGCTTCACTTGTAAATACTGCTGCCTCAGCTGTGGACCACTGACTTGTTGGCCCTGGGGGGGGCCAACAGATGGGGGGCAGGGAGTGGAAACAAGTTAATTTGTTCAAAAATAAATCCTCCAACGAGGAGATTTTTCTTCTAATTTTTGTAGTCCCATATCTCTATGAGCAAGCAGTCCACTTACTTCACTGTACAAACTCATGGCTTTTCACTTTGCACATTTTGCAGCTACTTCTAAGCAGATGCAGGAGCTTTCCTACCTAAGGCTTTTAAAGAGATGTGGACTGGATAAGTAGAAGAACCATAGCAACAGATGTGTACAGGGTTCATTTGCCATTTCAGTTAAGCAAATCAGAAATGTAGTGTTATCTGAGAATGCTAGGGCAAGGAATTAGCTTATGGATGGCTTTGTTCAATGGGAAGCACACAGATATGCTTATTTTCAGACATGCGAAGCATAACAAATGCAAATCACTAATGCCTTAAACTTGAGATACTCGACAGCGTAGTTAAAAAATCCAGTTTATCTTCAGTGTCTGTAGCTACAGGGTACATTACAGAGCCATTATAAACTTGGAAAAGCACATTTTATTACTCAAAAACCTAGAAAATGCCTTCAGATATTTGCAAGTTACACTTACCTCTACTTTTCCAAAGTTTTTAGAGGTTAGCAAAAAATCTTTGTGGAGAACAGTTTGAGAGCAAAAGCAATTTGTTCTGCATGGTTTGATTTGTTTGAACTTCGTGGTGTGATCTTTCCTTATCTAAAAATGATAAAACAGACGTCATGTTTTGTCTCCAGTAATCCTGAAAGATAAATTCCTTTCTTAAGAATTCTGGAAGTTATTGTGTAATCTCGACTTGCAATTGCATTCATAAACTTTAAATCAAGTTTATTGGTGAGAGCAAACTTCACAGAAAGCTTTGGGTTTGCACCAGTATTTTCAGCTTCCTGCTGTTCGGTGTTAATTAATTAATGGCCCCAAATTTATAAAACAAATGTATGATTAGATGTTTTTAAGAAAGGGAGCAGTGTTGCAAGTGTATGAAGCCTTACTGTGTGACTGGAATGGAAAATGAATGGCCTGACTGACTAGTTTTGCTTTAGGTTGAATATTTAGGGTAAAGGGAAAGGAATTGATCACGTTCATTCCTCTAAAGCACGATCCCAAGCTGTCTCTCCCTTCGTAATGTTTTTTCCTATGTTCATACATGCTCTTTCAGATGGAGCTTCCCAGAATCACTCAGTCTTAAAGTCTATCTATTGAGATAGATAGAGGTAATAATCTGAGCTGTCCCATGTGCCCTTATTGCTAATAAAAATTTCACTTTCACAGGCGGGAGAGCTGCTTCTGTTTCCATCTTCAGATACTGGTAACTTCAGTTCACTTCCTTGGCTGAACTCTTTCGGAACAGAAAATGTGGTTTGCTTATTAACTTGGAGAATGACCTCATGGCTCTACATGTAGTTTTGTCTCCACATTTGTGCAGAATAAGTTTATATCATGATCCTTTTTGCACAAGGAATCCAGCGTTACTCAAGTTTTCCGGAAGAGCTTAAGCAGTGCACATTTTATTGCTATTCCAAGCAGTTGGCTGTATCAATTTATAGTTGTATTTATAGTTGTTAGCATACAAGCACATATTTTTTGTGGACAACTTGGTTTTGTCCTTCCATCTGCAATTGAAATCAGCAAAGGCTTTGTAATTGGAGCTTGGCTAATATTGTTGATATGTGGTCCAGAATTGAGATCTGATCGTGTGATAGAGAGTAAACAATTGTTTTGTTTTTAATCGGGACACCTGACTATGGATGTATCTGGTGGCCTCATATTCTAGTAAGAAGGTGGTTCATAGTCAAGTTTCTCATAATATTCACCTTTAAAAATAGAACCATACAAGAAAATGAGGCTTGCTCCCATTCTGTTTAATCCGCAGCTGAGCTAAATGAGTGTTTTCCCTTCATATGTGTTCTCACAATTGCTGTGCTGAGGCTATGTGCAAAGCAGTGTGGCTGCTGATCGCATTCAAGATATCGAAGTTACAAATCCTAGTCTGCTTACTTTCAACAGCAGTAATGCAGGGAATGACAAGTCATTTCTAGAAAGTGAGGTCAGACTTTCTGAGAACCAGGTTATTTATTTATTATTCTTTTAGCTTTGAATATGAGACTGAATCTCAATCCAAAAGATTAGCAAAGGAAGTTTTATCTGGCCCACAGTGATTATAAATAACTACAAGATGCAATTCTTGAGCAGTGTGCTATGAGTAATCTGGGTGTGGATTAATGAGTTAAAATATGCTAAGGTTTTGTACAGTATCTTTGTCCTGCAGTAAATGTTATTGCAAACCACAACGCTATGCCTTTTCATGAAGGATAGTGGCTGAGAAGGCACCTGAGAGTAATTACAAAGGAAAACATCTATTTACAGATTGAAAAATTGTAGTTAGTGTTAATGGAGCTTCTGCACTTAGACTAGAGTCTGCAGCAGCCGGAGCTGTGATGAAGCCAGAGCTTCTAGGGGGAAGCTGAGGGAGGGATCAGTGCTTGGGATGTTGGGGCTGTGGTTAGGAGAATGTGAGGTTGACCAGGGCCGGATAAGCAAAAGTGAGACTGTGGGAATGTATATGGTAGGAAGTGGTAAGAGAGGTGTGGCAAGACGTAGAGGGCGTAAAAGAGGGAGTGCGGAAAGCAGGGCTGGATTGCGAAAGCAGGAATGTAAGCTGCGATGTGGGGGGAGTTTTTTGCAGGTCAAAATGGTGTGGTAAAGGATGGGATTCCCAGTGGTGTACCCCTATCTCCAGGATTATGTCCTTACCCACAAAGCTGTCCAAATAATCTTGCAGGCACCCCATGGTAGCTTGTTTTCCTTCCTAGGGGCAGTTGTGCTCTTATGTGTCCTCTAACTGTGATTTAAGGAGTTCTGTCTTCATGCGTATTGATGAGCAAGAAAAGGAGCAACCTGACATGTCTGAAATGTACAAGAATCCCCAAGGAGAAGGAATTCTGTACAACAGTTGGTAAGGAAGGATGTGTGGCTGATGGGGCCTGGCTTTGTTTGCATTTCTGTTGCATCAGAAACTGAGAGATGTTCAATGTCGATCAGGTAGGGGTGGGAAAAAAGTGCTCAAATGTATAGAGAGGTAGCAAACTATTCCCAAGTAACTCCTGCAGTGAGGCATAAAATATCCTTCAGGGAGAAGGTAGGAGTCCTCCAGTCTGATGTGTGTGATATCAGTGGCAGAATTTGAGAGAACAGTATATGTAAGTGGCAAAATTGTGAGCAACAGAGTCGTTTCTGCTTCCACTGAAAGTTGGAGCAGCTCAGTGAGCCTTGATGTTCTTGGCTTGATCTGGAGAATGCTTGTTCTATCTGTGCAGAGGTATTTCAGTTGATGGCTTCCTCCCATGCCCATGTTCATTAGCTCTCTTGGCTTGAGGGATAACCACCTGCTGCTTTGATGGTAAAGCTGGTGGTTGACTTCCCCTTTCTGTCTGCCATCAGTGTTGTTTGGTTTCTTTGCCTCCTCTAGGATTGCTGTCAGATTTGGCGATGTCTCCAGATCAGGTGTTTCTTGCTGACAGTACATTTCAGGAATCAGTACTCAGTCTTGAATGAGTGTAGTGCTGATTTATTCATTCTGTTTGGTTATTAGCGTGTCAAGGAATGACATCTCAAGAACCCTCAGGTGAATCATTTGCTTGTGGCAAGAACTTGTTTTTTTTTGAGTGATTTCCAAACTTTGATTTTTGGGGCTTTCATCTTTTTGGAACTTGGGTTTTCGTAGCCCAGAACTTGTTCAGATGTGATGCACTGAGAAGACACAGATGCGTTTTCTTCTTTTCTCTGTAAAAACCCTTGATTTCACAGATTTCCTGAGTAATGGTGGACCAATGCAAGGACTCAACTTTCCTCTTCTGATGGAGTATAGTGTTGGTTTCTGCAGAACAAAAACATGCTGCTAGGAAGAGGAAAATAAGACCATTGCATTTCAGCGTTCAGACATGTTTAAAGTGCTCTCGGGGAAAAACAAACAAACAAAACGACAGCGTGATCCTGAAAATAATCCTACTTGTTTCTTTTGCAGAAGTTATTTAACGTTTCCCAAATTTCTCTCCTTGAGCAAAAGAAGACTCATTTCTGTTGGCGGATAAACTTTATAACTCTCAGCTTTTAGATGAAGAGAACCAGAATACCGAGAAAGGAATTGCTACCCAGCGCCCGCTCCTTTGTTTTAATGACACGGCCAACCTTTACCAAACATTTTCACTTTTGATTTTGAATTAAAATGCATATGATTGGAAGCTTGGGCACTTTTCCAGTTTTGTTTTACTTCCTAGACGTATCCACAGATACGTATTCCAACAATACCAACAATTCCAACAATAAGAATTACCTATCAGTGAGGAATGGCAGCGTACAGATAGTGTTCCATAAGGAAAACTTGGGCATGTCTTCTCATTATTTGGATTGAGTAACCTTTTCCTTTCCGTGAGGGATGCTCTGAAAGTAATGCCTCCTATTTTATGATGTTGGCCCACGACATCAGGTGCAGGTGTTGGTGGGGTGGCACTAGAGGTTGAATCTTCCACCAGTATCCCATTATGTTTTGTTGTTGTGTGACAGATGGCAGCAGAGGGGCAGTCTGACAGAATGGCCTGGAGGTGTGTATGAAGCGAAGGTGTGGAATTTAATTCTTCCATGTGGAAAAAATGACAGCCGTTGACATTCGATGCTTTGAGCCGATAAAGACGGACTGCGTGGGCAGCATTTTCCAAGCAGCGATGCCATCACAGCAGCTGTGAAACAGTGGATCACCTTTGCTGGTGGAGGCTCTTGTTCATTGCTGGTGAAAATGCAATTGTGTTCATGGTGACTGTGTTGAAAAATAGTTTACTGAAACTGAGAATTTGCTCAAACTATCATAGAATGGCCTGGGTTGCAAAGGAGCACAGCGCTCATCCAGTTCCAACCCCCTGCTGTGTGCAGGTCACCAACCAGCAGCCCAGGCTGCCCAGAGCCACATCCAGCCTGGCCTTGAATGCCTGCAGGGATGGGGCATCCACAGCCTCCTTGGGCAGCCTGTGCCAGTGCCTCACCACCCTCTGGGGGAAAAACTTCCTCCTAACATCCAACCTAAACCTCCCCTGTCTCTTAAAACCATCCCCCTTGTCCCATCACCATCCACCCTCACAAACAGCAGTTCCCCTCCTGTTTATACGCTCCCTTCAAGTATTGTAAGGCCGCAATGAGTCTCCCCAAAGCCTTCTCTTCCTCAGGCTAAACAATCCCAGTTCCCTCAACCTTTCCTCATGGGAAAGGTTGTTATCCTTCTGATAGCAAACAGTGTTATTGTGCTCTTTGTAGCTGTTGTCCTTTCCCTGGAAATAAATAGGAGGCATTACTTTTGGAGCTGACACGCAGCAAGGATCCAGAGTTATTGTGTTGAATTCAGTACAGTTTGTATGGATTCAGATTTCTGTAAATGTAAGCAGAAATTATTGTCAGAAGGAAGAAAAGTGCTCATAACGTCAGTAATCTTCTGAAGGAGTGTGTTTATTCCCAAGGTAAAATAGCAGTTGATGTTGGGAATGCAGTCAGATTGTAAGTAATTTCCTGTAGATGATGGAGATCTGCTTCATTCTGAAACAAGCAATTTGTTTGGGAATTGTTCAGTGCCTTACAGGTGAACTTCCTGGGTTAAATGCTTTTCTGAAATAAATGTACCTGCAACGACCTGTCAGTTCACACAGGCAACATATCTGAAAGTAGATCTGTGAAATGACAGGGCCCTGCAAATGCCTCTTACCTCTTTGGTTCTGTCCCATGCTTGAATCTCAAGCTTCTGAAGTACTTTTCAGTGAATTTATATGGCATCTTCTGCTGGAATTACAGACTGGAAATTGTTGAATGCATGAGCAGATGTTCCATTTTGCTGCTGCTCATAATTGAGTGGCACCTTCTAAAAATTGGGGGTGAAAACTGGATCTGATGGTTTTGTTTCAGTGCGCAAGAAAATCTTGAGTAAAACTCCTAGACTGGAGTACAAAGAACTGAGTCTCAGTGTAACGTTGGTGCTCAGCATTTAATAAATTTGTCATTCAAATTTCTCTGCACATGCAACCTCCCTCTAACGCAGCTTTTATTTTCAGTATCTGATCAGTCCAAGCTTCCCTCATCAGTTGTTTTCCTCTTTACTCAGCTGGCCTCCTTCCTCTGCAGTTCTGGTTGGGAGTTTCTCCTGGTTCTAAGCTGTTTCATCCCTTGAGTTGATTTCTTCTAAAACTAAAGGAGTCAGTCTTCCTCCTAGTTTCAGTTTCTGGTTGTATTCTGGTGGGGAATACAATGATGATGAAGGGAAAGTCGCTATAAAGGAAGTCTGGTTTTGCTCTTGAAAACCCAGGTGGGAACGCAGTGATGTGAAGTTTTCCTTTAACCGTTGTGGCCATTGTGTATGAAGTAAAAAAACCCAAGATATTTATGGGCCAGGTGAAGCTCAGCAGTCCTGAGAAGAATAACTGCAATCAAAATCAAATCATGTAAACCTTGAGCATGCTTCTGTGGCTACAACTGCAGACTTCAAGTAGACTTTCTGCGTGGGTGAAGTTATGAAATAAGAGGTGAATTTACTGCAAACTGCTGCAGTTAATGGGCTCTGTAGGCAGACGTTCTGTATGTTTAGAAACTAGCTGGAGGCAAACGCATGCTTTGTTTCTTGCCTTTTACCAGTTCTTTCACGCAGCTGATGGCTTTGTTGAAGCCTTCCTGCATTTTGTGGTTGGGGAGAGGAAACCATGAGCTTTGCAGTACTCCAGACAAAGATTGTGACATGATTTAAAACCAAGCGAAAGTCAGAAGTGGGTGCTTGTGGATTAATTTGTCTGAGTGCCACGGCTGGCATGTGGGAGAGCGACTGCTGTTGGGTCGTGTCAGCAGGATGACTTTTGCACTGAATTAAACTGGCACTAGGGACGTTGAAGGAAGGGCATGAAGGGCCTTCACACGATAGTTCCTGCCCAGCCTTTGCTGCCCACCATTTTCCATAGAGCTGTGATGGTCAAGTGGCTGTCCTCTTGACTGTGGAAGATGCACTGTTGAAGGGTTCAATACAAGCAGTATTCAAATACCACCTCACGTCTGTCAAGTACCATCTCACTCTCTGTGGAGAATGGCAACGTGCAAACCCAGCTCTCTTTCAGAAGCTGCAGTTGGAATTACTGAAAGTACAGACATGATGTGATCTTTTTTCTAAGGTCATCTCTCTCTCAGCCAGCCTGTGGGCATAGTAATTCTGTGATCTGGTTTTGGTTTCTTTCATGGAAGCCAAGTCTTTCCCGAGTGCACAGAGTTCTCTGTCAGCTCTTCTCATTTTTCAGTCTGACTCAAAATGTGCTTCAGTTTTGAAGCTACTATGCACTGAAAAAAAGACATTTTACATAGATTCTTTTTTTCCCTCTTCTGTTACTTATCTCCCTCTATAAAGTAGTAGAATTAGTTGAGAGGATAAAAACAGACTTCTGAAATTGTTGCCCACGTCGACTTTATATAAACTACATTTGTAAAAGAACATTGACTGAAAACGAGGTGCCATTATCATTACTGTTCAGATGATCCATGTGACACGTTTTAGCTGCTTACAGTTTTTGCTTCAATCGAAATTTTCAGTGATTTAACCCAATCAAAAAGTGAATATCCCAGCTGCCCAAAGGAGTTACGGATGTCCCCTTCCTGGAGGTACTCAAGGCCAGGTCTGATGGGGCTTTGGGCAGCCTGATCTGCTGGAAGGTATCCCTGCACGTGGCATGCCAGATGATTTTTGATGTCCCTTCCAAGCTAAACCATTCTAAGGATAAAATTACAGACGTATCATCATGTCTGCTTTTGCGTATAAACAAAAAGCCCAAATCTTTGATGGCAGAAATTGAGAAAATTTGATATTTTAAGCCTAGCAATAGAGACTTTGGTATTTCTAGAAGGCAGAAGTGTAGCACTGCTACACACTGTTTGAAGGCTGCTCTGAAAGTAATGCCTTCTATTCTGTGATATTGGCCCATGATGTCAGAGACAGAGGTTGATGGGATGGCAGTGGAGGCTGAACCTTCCCACCAATATCCTGTTGCATGCTGTTGCCATGTGGCTTTACAGCAGCAGATAGGTGATGTGATGGAATGGTGTCTGGCACAGGAGTGCATATGAAGCAAAAGTGTGGAACTGAATCTCTCCACGTGGAAAAAAAATGGCACCCATTGACATTCATCAGTGTTTGCTGAACGTTTACGGAGACCAAGCAGTGGATGTGAGCACAGTGAGGGGTGGATGTTGTGTTTGAGCAGCGTGACAGAGCCTGACCTCCTCTGGTGGAGGGTTTTACAAGTGTGGCATGCAGGCTGTCGTTCATTGCTGATGAAAATGCATTGCTAATGGTGCTGACTGTGTTGAAATACGGAGGCACTGGTTGGACTTGATGATCTATAAGGTTTTTTCCAACCTGAGAGATTCTATGAGTACTTTCAGAGCAACCGATGTACTATTTGAAGTGAGGTTATGTTTACATGGAAGCAGTTGGAATGAAATTAGTCGATGGGCGTTGTGTGAGAGTTTACAGATGTTGGCTGAAGCAGGACTTCTTGCAGAAAGACTCAGATCAGCTGAGGACATCCTTTTCCTCCCAGAAGAGAGAGGTTCTCTGCTTTCTGGAGTGCTCTTCCAACTTACGGCTCAGAGTCAGCAAGCAATTACTGGTAACAGCACTTGTGAACTTTCCTCATTGGGAATTGGCAGTTTTGGGTAGGTACTTTTTGACACTGTTCTTTGTAATAGTAAAAAATAAACACATTATTCTTTGGGAACGAAGACCAGGATGCATCTCCTTCCGTTGGCTGTTCCTTAATTGCCAAGGAATTTTCTGTGTTCAGCAAGAGCAGCCGATTGAGGCAAAAGTCCCCAGTCACAAACAAACACAAACTGGTTGGTTCTCCTTTTAGACTGCTGGTTTGCATGTGTGCGAAACTCTGTATAAAGCAAGGAAGTTAATTTCTTTTTCTATTACTTTTACTAGAGCACAGAAATGATGTGAAACTGCCTACTGAAGCTACTGTTGCAGAAGTGACTTGGGATTTCCCCTGTGTATTGGGATTTTATTATGATCCCACCTTATTATAACCCATTTTTTTCCTGCTGGGAACTCTTGTTTTAAGTCATTGCTATATTTAAACAAGTATATAACAGCCTGTGTACTTGTTGATCACAGTGGACAAATATATCAAGGAAAACTGGTAAATCACTGTAACTCCACAGGTCATGTTGTCAAGAGCTCCTGCACTGTATTTTTCCACACTGCAGTCTGTCTTGGTTAATGAGACATAATTAAGTGGATTGATGAGTATTTAATACAAAGAATATGTGGCACAAAGTAAGGATCAATGCAAGATAGGCGTAGAGGGATAGAATCTTGCAGATCTGTGGCATACTCAACATAAATGAGATACTGAATGTGTAACACTACTTATACAGGTTCAACTGCTGTCAGCTACAGCTTGTTCAGACTCCCATTGCTTGCCTACTAGGTGATGTTTCTCAGTGAGATCGTGTTGCACCAGTATCACCCTTCCACCCACCCTCTTTGGGTTCTGAGTTCCTTCCAGAGAAGTTCAATGTGTAGACTTCACTTACAATAGCTAAAAATATTAGGATCTTGAGTGTTCTCACTGCAGGTCGTACCTCTGTGTTACGCAGCATGCATCCCACCAAACATTCCCTTTCCTACTGCTGAGTTTCAACAGAGTTTCAGCATCTGGTGTTGTTTCATCGAGCCGAGCAGCAAGACGTTGCAGTGCTCTTCATCAGTGCATTGTGGTGCTCTAAATAGCAGTGCTGACAGACACTGAAATACAGATTTTAGACAAGGTTATTTTGATGTGTCTTTTTCAATTCAGCGATCTCCTTTATGTGTCTAGTGATGCTGAGAGATGATATGTGGTTTTAGTCCCAGTTATGTGTTTAAGAGCACGAGGAGCTATGCTACCAGTGCATGTGAGACTAAAATCAGCCATCTCAACATTAGAAAATGCCATGAGAGCTTTTGTTCAAACGTGTGTGACTATGCTGCTTCTGTAGTATTCTCTCAGTGCTTCCTTCCCTCTGTCAGCACACAGAATGTGCTGAAAGAATGGCTTGGGTCTGAGTTAGAGACTTCTTGTGGCTTACCTCCATTACTTATGGTTCCATGTGCTCTTTTGCTCCACTTGTCCAGCGACACTGGAGGAACCTCTGACTTACAGGATCTTCTCTGAGCCCCTCAGCCCAATGCAGCACATGGAGATGAGCAGCACAGATCAGATAGCTGCGGTGAAAATTAGCTAAATATTGGCTAAACTGCTGAAAGAGAAAACGCCAAGCAACTTTATCTTCAGTATTTCACCTACAACAAAAGGAGGTTTGATGTTAGGTGCGTGTAATCAAATCAGCATTTCAATTAATAATAGCGTGCTCATCGAGGCTTTTCCATTTATCTGGTAGGCATCATCCCCCGACAGAAGAACAGAGAAATGGGGTTGTTTGTTTGCTTCGATTTGTTCAATTCTATTATTATTTTGAACTTGCATGGAGGATTATTTTCTAGGAAATCCAGGCAATGTTTAGAGAATGGCAGCGTGGGTTTGTTTGAAAGCTGAGATGCTTCTGTGCCAGTTACTGATAGGGCTCCTGCTGGAAAGCCCCTATCACTGTGTTTGAGATCAAAACACACCAACTCTGAAATGAAAAACGTATTCAGATTGGAACGTTGCTATTAAACACAGGCTCCTCACCTGCTTCTGGTGGCATTTGAGAAAGCACTTTTAAACTGTGAGCAATGCCTAACGGTGTATTACTGCACAAGATTAAGACATTTTCTAGCCTGTTATTTAATTAGGAAAAATAAGAATGTGGTATTTGGGCATTCAAATGCTTAGCTGTCTCTAGACCTCAAAGAAAAGTTGGCTTTTCTAAAGAGCACTTAGGCATCGAGAAGTAAGCTGGTGAAGTGGTGAAAAGAGCATCTAAAAGTATATCTCAAGAACGCAGTATGCAATCTTCTGAAAATGCCTATTTTGACTTCATAAGGTGGCGTTGTTGAGAAAGAAAGGGTTACAGCAGTGAGTTGGAGCTGATACATACCTCATCCTTGGGTCCCTGTGGACGCCCTCATCTCTGCCTCTCAGTCTCAGTGGCAATGAGGCAGCTGGCAATGCAATCACCAGTTATCCTGCTTCAAATCTTTTCTTTCTTTTCTCTCTCTGCTGATAAGTGTGAAAAGAAGCACAGAATCATGGGTGTGAGAACACAAATTCTCATCGTTTTCCTGGGCGCCTCAGTGAGATTTTTCAAGGCAGTCTGCCTTTTTTTGAAGTGGGTAACTTTTACTTTTGATAAAACTTTCAGGGCAGATAAGAAGGCTGCATGACTCCTTAAATAAACCGAAATCTTTCCATGCTACCAAACATTATCCAGAGCACCAAAACGAGTATACGTGTGTAAGGGATAACTGGCAGCAGCAGGAACTGATTTCACATGGGATTGGAAGGAAAAGGGATTCATGAGGATGCTCTACGATGTACTGGTGTTTAAATGGCAACATGCAGAAGCTAAAGGTGGTCGCTCAGAGTTTTCACACATTTGGTTCAACAGCAGTGACGTAGCTGTACTGAAACACTGCTTCTTATTGAGAAGTCTCTGAAGGATTGGTTGCTGCTCTGATAGTGAACAGGGCAGGGCTTGGACTCATGCCTGGACCAAAGCTTTTGGGAGTGCTCTGAGGACAGCCTACGATGCCTCAGATGAATAGGGGCAGTCTGCATTACTGCTCAGCCAGACACATCCTCGGGTAACAACCTTGATGCATGCATCTGACTCACAGAAACCCAACAGCTCGGGGAGTAGCATTTGAAGTGGTTTTGTTTTGTTCTTTTTTTTTTTTTTTTTTTTTAACTTTTCTTTTTTTGGGCAGCCCCCTCCTGCTTCCTTCCAAATTGTTTTCTCAGCCTGATTGAGTCTCAAATCTGTTGCCTTCATGTCTTGAACAGCTGGAGTGGCCCTGGACTTAGTGAGCAGACGCCGAGCGAGGTTGGACTGGACGCTGCAAGGGTCCCAGACTTCAGGAGGAGCAACCTGGTTGTCTGACCTGCAATGCTGGAAGCTCAGGAAAGCTAATGCCACTGCAGATGGCTTCCTGCAGCCTAAGACTGGGACTGTGGCTCCTGCTGCTTCTCCAGGACATCCAGGGAGCCCCACAGGTAAGGGGGGGATCCTGCAGCCCTGTAGGACCAAGGATCTGGCAGAGGGTTGGGGGCACCCTGGGCTGATTTTTTTTCCCCAGCAGTTGCATGCAGGGAGGTGAGCATCCATAGAAACAGGCTCTGTGATAACGGGTGATAAAAGGATAAAGCAGGGCTGTCACAAAGCAGCAGTTTGCCCTTTCTGGGAACTTTGCAGGCAGGACCAGCAGATATAGCTACGATTTGAGTCTTTTTTTTTATTATTATTATTTTTTGGCATTGCACATCCTGGCTAGGAAATGAGGAAAGATTTCATTAGAATGTGGGACCGACCTCATTTACTTTGAATAAATCTCTCATTTTTGCCCAGAGAGCCAAATGCTCTGTGCCAGGCACATTCCTTACAGAACTTTGCTTGGGCTCGCTGTGCTGATGTGAGTCAGGTCTAGCAAAATGAAAGGTGTAAAGAGGCAAACGAAACAATAAAATACCTTCCTCTTTACATCCGCCCACCCCTTTGACACCGACTTTCCCATGAATGGGCTCTTTTCTGCATCAGAGCAACTCAGAATAAACACGGGGCGCTGCTCACTCAAAGCTGTGGATGCAAGTCGGCTCCCAGCTCAAATCATATCATTGAGGCACTTGTGTGTTTGCTCCCCCCCTCCGCCCCATTTGCCCCCTCCTCACCACTGCATCGTGTGGCATTGAGCCCTCAGAGCCTGGCGTAAATCCAGGTAATTTCCCTGCCTGTCATTTAGGTACGCATGGAAAAAAAAAAAAAAGCCAACAACAAAACCCAAAGATCAGTCATAGAGGCTCTTTGCACAGCTAAGGTCAAATTGGTGGCTGATTGCCCGCTGGGTTGGGCCCTGAAACTGTGGTGGAAGTATTGGCATGTGCTTGTTTAAGATACCTGTCTGTAAATGAATGGTGCAGCACAGCACATGGGCTATTGGAGATTTTTAATAAGAAACTGCCTCTGATTAGATCTTTGAGCATAACCAAGTCCTCTACATAGAAGTTTGAAAAAGATCCTCATGGCTCTTACAGTAAGAGTAGGAGTTTGCCTAATGTCTTTAGCTGTAAATTCCCCTCCCACGTAGCAAGTTTGCTCTACCTCCCCCTGGTCCTTTCTGCCCTGCCATCACCTCCTTCCTGAAGTACATTGATCCTTCTTTTCTTCCCTAGGATCAGAATTTGCAGTCCTTACTCACCGAGGAGTTCTTAGGGGGGCATTCGGGTCAGCATATCAGGTCTGCTGAATGCCAGCTGCTTTAATTAGTTCTTGCTATTTGCCATCACTTTGGTCAGCCCACAAAATGAAGAGGACAGTAATGAATTCTTTTTTCTATTACTCATGGTCAGCATTCAGACTCGCTGCGAAATCATCAGTTTACCTGGATTATGTCAACCTTGCTGAGTTTGGAGTTTGCTTTAATTTTCATTTAGCTCTCATTAATAACAAGTGTGAAGCTTGACTACTTGAAATCCTTCATTATCAACTTTTTTTTCGTGCTGACAGAATTTAGATAAAAGTTTGAAAAAGAGCTGGCTGTTTTGCTACAGTATTAGTCAGTTCTAGAGCAGCCAATGCTGGTAGATTTTCTTTTCTCTCTCCTTTTTTTTTTAACCATAATACACTTTCTTTCTGACTTACAGCTTATTTGTAGTAAGCTGACTTCTTGCTCTGCCTCACCATGGCTTTGTGAGCTCCAGAGACCATAAATAAATGAGTCAAACCTTGTCATGACTGAATTGCAGACTAGCCCGCTGAGTTCAGCACCGTCTTTGCAATGACTGTTATTTAAACTGAGATAGCAAATGTGATTGTGGAAATTGTCAAAAAGAAATGCTGAAAAACCCTAATGCTTTGTGTCAAATATGTTTAGTTCTTTGTTGTTGTTGTTTTCAAGTGGGCTTTCATTGTCAGCCCATTAAAGAAGGAAAAACCCAACACCAACATTGGCCTAGTAGGTCAATGAAATGACAAGGCCACGGGATCCCAGGCCATCCCATTGTAGAGCAATCTGAGCATCTTATGCATGAATTGTGGTCTTCTCTTTTACAAGATGTAGAATCATAGAATCATTAAGGCTGGGAAAGACCTCTAAGGTCATCTTCCTGCTAAATCAGAAGCCTTTCTTTGCCTGTATGCATGGATTAGTGAAATTCAGCCTCTTATCTCCATCTACTTCAGTGGGACAACAGTATTAACGCTGCCTTGAAAAGTGACATTGTGCTGAAATTGTGAATTTTCCTGGCCAAATCTGCTGAGTCCTGTTTCTGTCTGTCATGAGATTCACACAAGAGAGTGGATAAGAAAAAGGAACAGTGAAAAGAGGAAAAGATTTTTTAAAAAATGGAATATAACTCAGCAGGATTGCTGTGTTTCAGTCTGTTTCTTAACATTTGTTTATTCTGTAAAATTTATTGGAGATCTTGATGAAGAAAAGCTGTGTGGTTGTTGCAGATAAACATGATTTACATCACACTCTCCAGTGCTTCTTAAGGTATTCCAGAAGGAGGAGGGAATCCTTCCCACAATATAAGCAGGAAGAGGCAAAAATATGAATCTTTCTTACTGGCTAATTGACCATTCCTGTAAGTGCTCTGGAGCAAGGAGAAATAGCACCAGAAATACATTAGAAATGTCCTAATGCTGAGATTTTTGGCAACAAAAGCAGGAAGAACACAAATGCTCTTCCTTCCCGCTGCCTTCTTCCTGAGCTCTCCTATGATAAAGCACCGCTTTTTCCATGAGTTCTTTCCTTTTCCCCCTCACTGCCCCCCTGATCCCTTCCCTTCTTTTGGGTGATGCCCATTCTGATTCAGGCATGGCAGGGGGGGCATTTTTCTTTAAAATCTTCCTCTCTTGTCTATCATCAGCCCAGACACGATTCTGGGTAGCAGGGCTCCATCAGCTGGTGGTAGCACAACTCAGGGCTCAGCTTGCATCGACGCTGGGGAGGCGAACACTGCTACCACTGCTGGGAGTTTTGCTCAGAATTTCCCTTGTTTAAACAGAACCAATCTGTGCTGTCACCAGATTCCTTTATAACCACAACGTAATGAGACAATTAGCTTTCCCTCTGCCTTTTCTGATTACAGTGTGATATCCTCCTGACCGAAGTGCTTATGGAAGACTTAGAGGCATTCTGAGCCCTGGGCTGTTCACCTCTGCCATTTCTTCAGTGTGTGTTCTTTGCCTTCGGGCAATGATTTATTTCATTCTCCCACAAACCCACAGGAGTCTGGGGCAAGGGTTGGTCTTAAAGCAAGGCTTTTTATTCCATGTGATGCATGAAGGTTTGAAATTGAGCTTAGAAAAACCCTTCTGTGTGTTGGGAAGGAGACCCAGTACCATTTGTAGTGATGGGTACCTTTCCACACTGCCGTTTTTGCCTGTTTAAATCATGTTGGACATTTAAGCTAGATGTATGGGAGCTTGGTTAATAGACAGCATGCTGTATGCAAATAGCCAGCCTTTCTTAGGGTTATTATTATTTTTTCTTTTGTAGTTTTATGGTTTAGAGATGAAAAATAAAGGTAACAATGAGCCGATGACTGATGTCACCAGTTGTCACACACCCAATCTATCACTGAAAAGGTCTACAGTGAGACGGGAGGGACCCTAAAGGTCTTCAGGTCCAACTCTGCACTGAGCAGGGGCACCCACAGCTCCATCGGTGCTCACAGCCCCATTCCCTGACCTTGGGTGTCTGCACCTCCTCTCTGGGCACTCTGTGCAGTGCCTCACTGCCTTCATTGGCTGTAGGGCGCCGTTGGCTGTAGGGTGCAGCCGCCCTCTTGTGGAAGGAGAAAAGTGCTGAGTGCTTTCTCTCACGTGCATCGTTGCCTGATTTGTGCACTATTTATGTGTGGTTGCCTCAGTAAATTATCACAGCACTGGCACCAGGGGAAATTCATAAGTAGGATTTGCCACGCTGTAACTAAGAGGAGGATCTGGTCCTTAGCACATGATTTCAATGTTTTAGACAGACAAGATCACATTTTGATAAGTAGCTCTTCCTTCGTGCTTGTAGGCAGACCCTATTTTTTTGTTTAAGCCCCAAACAGGCAATTCTATAAGCTCTGTGTTTATGTGCTGTGTATTTCATTCAAGATCCCTGTTCCTGCTGTGATTTAACATTCAACATCTTTTGAAGCCAGCGTTGGTTTTTAGAATAACCAGAAAGAGAAGATCAGGTTTTTGTGGTGACATCTTCTAGGTCTTGAAGAGGAACTGATTCAAGATGACTTAGGTATAGCAGGATGCTGTTGCTGCCTGAATTTTCTTTATAAAAGGAATCCACCTTATCAGTCACTCCACTTTTTACATCTCTGGAACAACTGCTGGATCACTCTGTGTCCAAACACATCGTGCCATTTCCTGATATTGCCAATAGCTGTAATTTCTTTTTAAGGCTGGTAGGAAATGCAGAAGATGGGATCACTGCAAAGTAATTTTTCTAAGCTAACATTAGAACTGTTGTGGCTTTTATTTTAAGTCTTGGTCATATGATCATATCAAGGCTTGGTAATGAAAACCTTCACTCAGTAAAAGAGATGGGTTTAGTTATTTGAATGTGTAGTACTTGCAGCTTTCATTTCAAGGCAGAGCACACTTGTTCTCACTGTAGGATTTGTCCCCAGGTTAAAAGCAAAACAATTTGTTGGTTTGCATGCCTTTAGGTTGCAAAATTCAAGTGTTCTGAGGAGTAAATAACTGAACAGGAAGATTGGCTTGCTGCATTGATGAATGGTGTGAAGGTGAGCATGAGCAGAGTGTAAAAAAACAAAGCAAACTACAGAAGAACAGCTTCAGAATGGGATAACAAGGGTTAACAAGGGGCACAGGATACAGAGAACCAGTATACAAGCAGCTGTACACTTACAGAACTAGCTTGGTGGATTACAGCCCATTTGGCAAGCCTTAGATGATGTTGACTATGGCACTACTTCCAGTGCCAGTGTATACAGAGCTGGAAAGCTACCAGAGGTATTCAGGGATTCTGTTTGTATTATTTTTCTTAAAATTCCTTTCCTGAAGAAAAGATGGGAGCATTTTAAGAGCAGGGATTTATGGTGTTGTTTTTTTCTGGAGCATTTGGCTGAAAAGCACTTTTATGGAGCAGTGCCACTCCTCTCTGCAACATATGGAGCCAGGAGCTCATTTCTTTGTGATCTGAAATGCTTGCTGGAAGGATGGGGCTGCAATATTCCTTTTAGGTATTTAAAACACTTTCAGAGAAAAGAGTGAAGATACACACCGAATGATTGCTAAATATACTGAATATTCCAATCTTTGCTGAAGTTTGTGGGCAGTGGTTGTCTGGTTGCTTTTGAAAATGTTTGGACCTTCAAAAACCTGTAGACTTTATCATTTGTAACCACCATCACCAGAGACAGATGCTGGGATCTGCCCTCACAGAGCCCTAATTGTTCTCTAATTGTGTCTTTGCTTCAATTTTTAGCCACCATTCACCTCATCTCATTCCTGTGACACACTCAAGAATTGGTTCTATGATGAAACATTAGGAAGGTGCTGTTACCAGTGTCCTTCAGGTCAGTATGTTGGTGCTTCACAGGCCTTTCTCACAGGTTATGTACAAACCATGTATATCACAGAACTGCTTTTTGACCCTGCAGAAAAGTCCAATTTCACAGAGGACAGTGCTGGTGTAGATCCAGATGAGAATTTGTTCTCTCCTTCCTGCCCTGTTGGGTCTGCCTGCAAACTGCCTTTAAATTGCAAACAAGATAGCTTGCTAGAATTTGGTCTGTGTTTTTTATCGGCTGCTTTGACACTCAAATGTAACCAGAATTAGGCAGGTCCAACAACTGATTTCTGCTTGCCCCAGGATATGGAGCAGCGCAGTGATTTTAGCTTCTGATCAAAGGCACGAAGTATTAAATGATGGTGCAGAAAATCTGCCATTGTGCTCATAGTCAAAACAGTTCAGAAAGCATCTCACGTGAGAAGTGGAATATCCATGTGGCAGGGAACAGAGAGAACTTCACCTGCAGCTGTGACTCAGGGGTGGATGAGGTCAGAAGAATGAAACCCATCTATGAGATAAGAGCTCTGGAAATGTCTGAAGCTCCCCCTCGATGGACGGGGCATTTTATGGCACTGCACCATCACCTCTCTTTTCTGTTGCAACTGTGGCCTCCTCTCTCTCTCTCTTCTTTATTTCTCACATATTTCTCTCTTTTCTTTCTTTTTTCTTTTTTTTTTTTTTCAGAAGGGAAATTTTTGACATTTGTTTGTGCTATAAAGAGAAGGTTGGTGCTTGGTTACTAGCATTTGCATGTAGTTACATCAGAGATTTCCTGTACTGCTTCGGTGCACTCCACCAGAATCATTCAGAAAATGGATGAATAAGCAAGACCAAGGGATGGAGAAACTGCTCCTGTAGAAGAAGAAAAGGGGCAGAGATTCTGGGCCACTCCCAGGGAAAGAAGTTCTTTTCTCCTTCAAAAGCTCCCACTGTGATGGATGCCATACTGGGTCTTGTGAAAAGCAGAGGTGTAGTTTGCAGCTAGCTGTTATGACCCACAGTTCTCATACATTTCACTTCTGCAATCAGCTCCAGCCTTCAAAAGAACAGTCTTAGAAAAGCAGTTTTGAGCAGGTGGGAGTGATGTGGTTAGGGCTTGTCTGGTAGTACTTATAGGGCCAAATGGGAAGTGGCTGTTTTGACTTACGCTCCTACACTGTGCTTGCCAAAATGAATAGTGGGTGAGTGATTTTCCTGCTAGGTCTCCCATTCCTACAATTAACCCTTTATGGTTGGCTGATGCGGATTGGTGCTGAAACTGAGATTCATTTTTCTCCTGTTTGTCACCTGTTAAGCATTCAGCTCAGTCTTTATGTTGTTTTAGCTTTTCCTTCTGCAGCTGCCATCATTCCTTACTGTCTCGTGACTGTTTCCTCCTGCTGGCAAGGCCACCAGCTCACATCTAACTGCTGTGCCTGCCAGCTCCTTTGGCTTTGAGGCTGACAATGCTTCAAGATGGCTTTCTCCTCTATTTTGGAGCAGTTATCTCCACATTTTGGCTTTCTTTCTCCAGGTTATGCTAAAAAGAAATCATGTCCCATGGATCCAGATGAAGATTGCATGAGATGTGGACCTGAGCAATACCTGAACGAATCCCCAAAGCCACGATGTGATGCTTGTGTCTTATGCACCAAAGGTAAATGGTTTGCTGTTACCACCTACAGGCTTCTCCAGTTGATCACAACTTAAAGTGCTGTTGCAAAGAGTGCCAGCAGCCCGTTCTGCTTCCCAAGCCTTTGCACTGGTGTTGCTCAGCTTTGACCCCTGCTTTGCCTCTTGCTCGCAGTGATCCTTTGTTACTCCATCTGTTTCTTCCCTGCAGAATTTGACCTTGTGGAGAAAGCTCCCTGCTCCTTCAATTCCAGCCGGGTGTGTGAATGCCGACCAGGGATGTTTTGCCAGACTGCTGCTAAGTACACCTGCATGAGATGCCAGCAGCACACTGCTTGCAAGCCTGGTTTTGGAGTCAAGATCAGAGGTAGGAATTCCTCCTTATTTTATCTTTTTTGATCATGGCCGTAGGCTTGGAGTTGATTCATTTTGATCAGTCCATCCACTGTCATTGCTTTTATTCAGGCACCTCAAAGACTGATGTTTCATGTGAAGAATGCCCTCCTGGGACCTTCTCTGACCAAAGCTCCAGCACTGACGTCTGCAGACCCCACACGGAGTAAGTCCATAGTGTTTCAGAGTGACAAACCGATTGGTTAAAGCTAACAGAGGACCCAAAGGGATCTTTGCTTTGTGCCAGAAGTGACAAATTTATCTCAGAGGCAATGGCACAGCTTTGAGCCTTTGTGCTGTTGCACAGCTCTGTGCTGGCAGGAGGAAGGGATCTCTCTTGCCTCAGTTTCAGTTCACTGAGTGCAGTGGGATTCCGTGTGTGTGTGAGTTTGCATCTGGGTCAAGAATAAGTGCCACAGGGGTGAGCAGCAGGTTAATGACTTTCTGACTAAAACCAGTAAATGCCTGTGGTATAATCATGACCAAAAAGGGCGTATGCCACCTGGAAAATCTTACAGTGTGTCATGTCATTTCCTCCTGGCACTGATGCACTGCTCTCTCTTTTGTTCCCTAGCTGTGCCAAGTTGAACAAAGTAGCACAAGGCAAAGGAAATGCCACCCATGATCAGGTTTGCGTGGATCGATTACCCTCCTACCTCACCCCAGACACTTCCTCCATCAGAATCAGCAACGAAACAAATGACTCTGATGTACTGAAGCTTCCGGCAAACCTGGTGACCCTTGCTAGTGTCCTTTCAAGTGCCACAACCAAAATTCCCAGTTCAACTCCCAAGGAGAAAGCCAGCACTTCTCCCACCTCAGACAAGGGAGAGACAACAACAAGAGGTCAGAAAGGATTTATTCTATCTGGCACGTTTTATTCAGATATATCTTTAGTGAAAGTAATACGTGAGCTTCCTGCTTAACCCCTACAATTTGTGAAATGATGTCGGGCAAGCAGATTACTGATCCTTCTGCCTTTTCTTGGTCTCTTTGTTCTCCCTTTCCTCCTCCTGTGCTGCAGGTCTCGTTTTCTGGGGAGTGGTTCTCTCTGTGATGGTGCTACCTGTGGGCATGCTGTCATTTTGGCAATGGAAGGCCTGCAAGAAACGGATCCTCATCCTCAAAAAAAAACGTGAGTTTTGAAACTGTGGTACAGAACATGCTGCTTAATCTTCCCACCTGGGAATTACAGCATCCTAAAATGCTACAGAGGACAGGAGGGGAGATGATACTTCCTAATGCCTGGTGAAGACAGGTCAGTTAAGGGTTCTAGGCAAACTGCTCTCCATCGTGTTGGAGAATATTCTCAAAGAGTCATAGTTGGGTTGGAAGGGAACCCAAAGATCATCCAGTTCCAATCTCTTCTCTGTGCTGGTCCCAACCACTAAATGAGGCACTGGATCAGGCTGCCCAGGGCCACCTCTGATTAAAGTAGCTGTGAATGTATGGAGGAAGATGCTACAGATGGGAGGTGGTGACCTTTTAACTTCAGTTTTTGGAACTTGTCAGTCCTCTGCAGGCTGGTAAGGCTGTGGATGTGACAAGCCGCTAGATGGCTCTTCCTCCCCACTGCATGGGCACTACTGGGTGATGCGTCCAGCAGGGAGGCTGCTGGAAAAATGCACAGCTCACTTCTGAGCACTCAGATCTGGGAAATGTGTTCCAAAAAAAAAAAACAAACAGAAGTGGATGTTCGCCATAGCAACCCATGCAGATCCCCTACAGTGCATACGTTCTGCTCAGCTAACTAATCTCTTAGCATCTCCACTGACTGCTCTGTTCTGTTGCGGTGGATATTTCTGACTGCTCTGCATCGGAGCATTTCTGCTTATTTACTCAGGAATATGACTTAACACTTCTCATGTGAGCTCAATTTTCTCAAAATGGAATTTTTCCTTCCTCAATACACGATAAACAAAAATGTTACTGTGCAGCATTGTAGTGCTGACATATTGAAGGTAACGATGGCTGTGCGTCAGAATGAAACTAGACAGGAGGCATCTAGCTTCATATAGAATCATGAGATCACAGAGTAGCTGGGTTGGAAGGGACCTTAAAGCCCATCCAGCCCCAACTGCTGCCATGGGCTGAGTGCCCCCCACCAGCTCAGGCTGCTCAGTGCCCATCCATGGCCTGGGGCACCTCCAGGGATGGGACACCCACACCTCTCTACGCACTCCCAGTGTTCCTTTCCTCCATCCTTGCATATTATTATTGTTTTTTGATAAAGAAACTTTGATAAGAGAGTCTTCTGCTTATTTGGAAGGCTTAATCAGTTAATCATGTGATTAGATGAATGCTGGTTTTGGTGTGTGGAAAGCAATGGGTGTGGGCACAGAGGGCTCTGGGGAGAGCAGGATCTCACATGCTTGGCAGCAATGTGTCCCTGGATCACCTCAGCCCTTCAAGGAAGTGTGACTTCAGTGGTAAGGAGAGCATAATGCAGGTGAGTGGGGCTGTAGAGTAGTCTAGGACATGGGTGGGTGATATTTCAAAGCAATTAATATTCCTGTGATTACTATGAATTCTTTTCTGACAAATCTTCGTCTTTCCATTACAGGTTCTGATCTAGTGGACAAATATGCAGTAAGTGTCAACCATATTCCAAAACAGGTCAATTTCCATTCCAGTGTAAATAATTAATGATCTTTTTCAGTGTCCTGTTAAAAAGTGCTGGCCTTTTTATTTGGAATTGTAATCCACGATCGTCGAGGTGCAGAGATGAGACAAATTAGGAACTGCCACTTTCATGCCTTGGGCTATGTTCAAATGTAGCCTTAAGGAATACAGGAATGCAACTCAAGGGAACTTAAGTTCCTAGATCTGCTGGGCACTTTGCTTTTTTTCAGTCCCCGTTGACAGTGGTGCTGTTCTTTTATTTCTCTTCTGTCGACCTCTTGCAATCTTCACTGTGTTGTTTTTGCACTGACTCTTCTCCTGCTCTCCTCTTTGTGTTGGCAGAAGATCACACTGACCACTGACAAATGTCCAGAAGAAGAGGAGTTCACTGATAGAACCCTCCCTTTGGAAACCAACAACAACTTGATCTGCAGTGCTGAAAAAGCAGGCAATCCTGTTCTGAGTCTGACTGAAGTGACGCAGAGCAATGGAAAAGCCCCAGACTGCCCCGTTGATTCTCAAGTGAGAGACCACACAAATAATCAAATCGGTGAGTCTTGAGTTATTTTCTTTTTTCTTTTTTTTACCTTTGTCATTCAACCCTGGGCATAGAATATCATCCTGAAATTATTGGCAACCTGGAAAAGTATTTAGAATTTCTAACAGAGATGGCTGTGGCCTCTTGACTTTGTACTGCAATCAAGTTGGTTTGTATTGTTATTATTGTTATTATTTTTCTGCATCAGTCAAATCCAAAGACTTAAAAACAGCTAAACTGATCCAGAACTGTTTTCTTAAGGCTGCTGGAAACCAGTCCTGCTTTTCTGGGAGGCAAAAGACAAAGCACAGAAAAAAACAAGGAAAAGCAGAAGCAGAAAACGCATCTTCTGTTTTCACTGCTGCAGACCAACAAGGATTTCTGTTACCCTAACTAACTCAAAGAACAGGCTTTTGCAAAATGCCTACTCCCTGTGTGGGGTGGGAGAAAGCTGTAGAGGGACAGTCGAAAGAAATGAACAGCAGAACTCACTACCATTCCCTGCTCCTGTTCCAGTCCTCTCTGTGTTGCTTATGAAGATGCTTTTCTTGTCAGAATGAGCTCAAATCACAAAGAAACGTGGGCATGCAAAGCCAAAACTTGTTTGCTAGCCTGTAAAATACTGGAACGTAGCCATGTTACAATGGCATAGATTGGAAGAGACCTTAATGCCCACCCAGCCCCAACCCCTGCTGTGGGCTGGTTGCCACCCAGGGCAGCTCTTTCTCTAACTTAGATTTAAACCACTGTGTTAGTTTTCTGAATTAGGTACTTACTTCATGACAGTGCAAAGCAGGGGAGGAAGGAGGCCTGTCTTCTGCAGAAGAGGTTAACCAGGATCCCAGAAGGCACTCATGGGGCCTGTGGAAGGTACTTAGGTTGTAGATAAGCTTGCCGTGGGCTGTGGCTGTGCTTGATGATAAGAAGGAAGGTGGAAGCTCTCGGTAGTTCTCATTCCAAGCTGCCAAAAGAGCAACACCCTTTGGTTAGTTGTTGGGAAATAGCTTTTCAACTGTCCCTGTGAGAGGTTTGATCTGCATGTGTCTGACTAAAAAAAGGAGAAAATAAAAACTGAATACCAAGTCAAAGTTTTGCACGACAAAGAGCCATCTCCAAGAGCAGCAGTACTGTTGCCCGTGCTCAGCATTACTTCTCTTTTTTTTCCTTTCTCAGGAAAAATATTCATCATGAACGCCGATACTGTTATTGTGGGGTCTTCAAAAACGCCTGGTATCAAAAACTGTACTGCTAGGGGATGTGAAAGTGATGTTGATATCCAGGAAAAGATAGAAGAGGAGCTGCCAGTGCACTATCCAGAGCAGGAGACAGAGGTCTTTCCAGGGAACGATGTCATGATTCCTGTGGAAGAGGAAGGAAAGGAATTCCATCACCCCACCACAGCCACTGAAAAGTGATGGCCAGCTGAGAAGGTGTGTGAAACTACGAAAACATCCAGTGTGACACTAAGCCTGAACCTACACTGAGGGAGGTGAACCCAGAGTTTCTTACACAACCTGAAAACTAAAGCGCCAAAAACATTCAACTTATTTCATCCAACCAACAAGAGGATCATCCAAACCACTGGTTGACATCAAATATTTCCTCTTTTCCTTGCTCTCCCCAGTACCACGCTGGAAACAAACTGGAATCAAAGTTACAGAATTCAGAGGACGTGTGGATGCAAACTCCAGTTTCACAGTTTGCTTTCTCTGCATGAAGGAATGGAATTAAAATGGTTATTCCTTTTAGCTCTGAAAACTCTGGATGGAATTCTGAGTTACCCTTGAGACCCAGCCATGTTTCACATTTGTTCTCCATTGTACTTCAGACCAATCCTTCTATTTGTTTTTAAGCCTGATTCACGTTTCTTCAATTCTTGAGGTCCCTTCCCAAGCCATTCTGTGATTATGAAATCATTCCTAAGTGCAGAAAACATCCTCTTCTGATTGAAGTCAGACTGGCTGAACGTTTGGATGTTGAATGAACTATGGGTGAAGGGCAATGACTGCAAAGGGGAAAAGAAGAACTGGGTTTCTACAAAAAAACAAAATAATAGGCACAGCAATGATTTCCTTGAGTTGTTAATATCTGTTTGTTTTAGAAGAATTGTTCGTGTTCATCACAGTGACACTGATTTGCATGTCTGTTCCTCAGAAATAATTCTGTTTGGTTTTGTGGTCAGCTGCCCCGTGTTACGCAGTTTCAGGTCTTTTAATGCTGCATGTTTGATAACTGTAAATGCTGTGGTGCTGACTGCTTTTGTGCAGTCAGGAGCACGGAAAATGAACAGGGTGACAAAGTGTGCCTTAAGGGTCAGAAAAAAAGGAACCACAGAAAGAATTTCTTTGTAGTTTTATCCTGGACAGTGATAACAGCAGTGCAACTTCAGTGTCTTGTCTGAGAGCCAACAAAAGGAATAGAGAAGCACAAAATCACCTCCTCAGGCCAGGCTCACCGTGCAAGTTGCCTAATATTTTATCTCTGTGCTATTTAGGGAAAGCACGTAAGTGCTATCTGCTCTTGTCATGCCTCCTAATTCTGCAGCATCAGCTGGAACTGGACCGAGAACATTGAAGTTTGACTCAGCCTTTAGTGTTCTTGTTGCCATTGCTTGGTGTTTTAAATCTCTTTTGAGTTTCCTGGTATAATGTTCCTCCACAACCACCTCATGACAGCAGATTACTGACAGTTACCTCTCACTGTGTAAAGGAGTACTTAGATACTGCTTTTAAGCTGACTTCTGACTGACTGCAGTGTCACTAGTTCCTGTGTTACAGAACGTAATGCAACGCTGAGTTGCCTCAATGATTCTTGCCTCTTGCCTCATCCTCCCCATTCCTATCACTTTATATTTCTTATCTAAGTCACTTCATTGCCTTGGTCATTTTAGTTGGCCTCATCCTTATCTTCTCTCACCTCACTATGGACTGGTGGAGATGTGGAGACCTGAACCATACATTTAAGAAGAGGAGATACATATATGTTGTTGTTCATAGAATCATAGAATTGGGTTGAAAAGGACCTCAAAGATCATCTAGTTTCAAATCCCCTGCCGTGGGCAGGGTTACCAACCACCAGACCAGGCTGCCCAGAGTTGTTTTCCTTGCACAGGTGACTTCAGAAGACCATCCAAGACAGGGAAGGATAGGATAAGGGGGAATGGTTCAAAGTCAAAAGAGAGAGGAGATTCAGGTTGGATATTAGGATGAAATTCTTTACTCAGAGGGCAGTGAGGCTCTGGCATTGCAGCCCACAGATGCCCCATCCCTGGAGGTGCCCAGGGTCATGGATGGGGCCCTGAGCAGCCTGAGTTGGTGTTGGGATCTGAAACTCTGTGATCTTTAAGGTCCCTTCTAAGCTGTGTCATTCTATGATTTTCTAAGTTAAATCATCCTATGATTTTTCTAAGCTTCTGCCTAAAACTGACCCCAGCACTGATTCCTATGACCCCACTGCCACCTGTTCTCTATCCTGAAAGATGACTGTTGTGCCGTGCTCTTTCCTTCCTGCTTTCTGAACAGCTCCGACTTTCCTGTCCCGTAATCTTTTGGGAAATCCTTAAACTGGCCTTTCCTAAGCTGACTCTAGGATGACTTAGTTTTATTAATGACCTTTAGGTATGGAGCCTCTTTGGCTTTATGAAAATCTTCATGAATTACACTGGATGTCCTTCATCCATTCAACCTCAGCATATAAGAGAATGTATGTTATGCAGATTTTGTGACTGAAGAAATAAATCACAAGAAATTGATGCTTTCTTGGGCCCACAGCCCCAGAAATGAAGTGGGAGAATCTCAGCATTATTGGACCTCGTCGTTGACATCCAGCAATGGATGATCTACCTGTACATGGTACGTTTGAGACCTGGTTCTAATTCCAAGTGCTCTTAGTTCCTGTATTTACTTGAATTCTGGTCTTCTCTGCTAGTCCAGAACATAATATAATTCCTAGAAACACCCGCTGTCACTCCATGTAGTCTGTCCTGCAGGAGAGGCAGTGAGTGAGCTGTATGTCCTTCTGTTTGTCCTGGGTTTGTTGCGTTCAGGAATGCTCAGATGGCAATTTCCTGTGTCCGTCAGTGCTGCCACATCAATGGGAGCAATGGGAGGGGAGGAGGAAATGGAATTCATGTGTTTTGGGGGCAGAGGTTGTGCATACTAAAACAGCAATGGGAGGAGGAACCGAAAACTTCCCGTTAAAGACTGGAGACCATTCCCTCGCTTCCAGCAAGTGTTCATTCTGCCCAGCACGTATCATTCCTTCTAGAACAACACAGCAATGACAGTTTCGTGTTAAAGGACAGCAATTTGTTCATCCACAGCCTCGGAATGACCGCGCTCACCTGACTGTCGCTGCTGAGGGATGCTCAGCAATCAGGCTGTATTTCAGGGCTGGGCATAAACGAACCTTTGGGTTTTTTCCTTATAACAATTTTCTGGATGAACAATCAGCCTTGCAACCTCCGTAACTTCAATCTCGGTGTGATATGAATTAAACACGCCCTGGATTTTTACCCTACAGCCGCACTTCTTGTGTCTGCGATGTCCTGTCTCTTCTCCAACAGCTCCATTGCAGCTCCTCGGAGCATCTTGGAAGCCACGCAGCTTTTAACATCCCTCCGTCGGCTCCAACCCCCGCGGTCTCTCGCTGGCGGGCAACCCCTCGTTTCAGCCCTGCCGGCAGCGGAGCGGCTCCGGGTTCTGTCACAGAGCCTCAGCTCCGCCCAGCCCTCACCGTGATGGAGCCTTGCTGGGCGCTCCTGGCCGCGCTGCTCCGCGCCGCAGGCGGCAGGGTGAGTGCGGGGGGCAGCCGGGGGGCGGCGGGCGGAGCTCGGAGCGCTTCGGGAGCCTCGGGCAGCGCTTCCAAGCACGGTCCAATCATGGTCCAAGCTCGCCCCGCTCCCTTTGGCTTTGCAGTTGGTGTTTTCTAGCTTCCCAAAGCCTCGACAAAGGGGCTTGAAAAAAGCTCGTCGTGCTCTGCTACATCCCTCGCACCATCGCTATGTACATAGCAGAGCCCTTGGTTGTACTTGTAAGAGCTGATGTGATGCAGCTGTGGCTGTTCCATGATTTTACTGAATTCTGTGGTTAAAGGAGTCCTTCAGTTATTTAGACCAAAGAGCTCAGTGGGGTCTTTGATTGGGTTTATGCTATGCTGATACATCACTAACCTTTTTCCATCTGATTTTAAAGTGCATAAGGTAAACGTGGAAAAGACTTTAGAGACCCCAAAACCACAGAATGGTTGGAGCTGGAAGGGACCCTAAAGGCCATCAGGTCCAACCCTGCACTGAGCAGGGACACCCACAGCTCCATCAGTGCTCACAGCCCCATCCCCTGACCTTGGGTGCCTGCACCTCCTCTCTGGGCACTCTGTGCAGTGCCTCACTGCCCTCACTGAAAAAAATCTTCCTTATATTCAATCTCAATCTCTCTTCTTTTAGTTGGATGCCGTTTCTCCTTGTCCTGTTGCTCAGAGTCTGTCTCAGTTCATTGGGTCTTTTTGTGTCACGGGTGTCATTTCCATGTTTCTTTCATCACAGTAGTTGAGCCTATAGGTAAGGCAAAGGCTGAGTTCAGCCCTGGGTTGTATGGTGGCACTATTGGTTCACTAAGTGGCTGCATGGGGCTCTGAGCACTGATGGAGCTGTGGGTGTCACTGTTCCTTCCAGTTAGTTGGACCTCATAGCCTTGAAGGGTCCGTTCCAACACAAGTGATCCCATAATTCCAAATACCTTGGACACAGTAGGGTAGGATGGGTGTGGGAATATTGGAACCGTGGTAGACTTTCTCACCAGAGAGTGAGCATGGAGGTTTGCCATGCTTCTTGCTGCCTCCCTCAACAGAGGGCTTGCATTCAAAAGGAGCTAACTCTTCTCTCACCCTAAGCATGATGCTCTCATGGTAAAGAGCACAGAGGAAAGCTTCCGTGTCACTTTTTGCATGGCCTTCAGGCTCCTGGCAAACCAAATGCTGCAAATGGCCACTGTGCATCAGTTTTTACTCAACTAAAGAGAGCAGATTTTTATCTTTCAAGGAGAAAAGCTGGCAGAGCAATAGCTCCTGAGTGACACGCTTTTTCTTGTTTCCCCCCTCTAATTTATATGGAGGGAGAAGGACCCGAAGCTTTCTGTTGTGTGTACCTTCCCATAGAATGGGAGAACAATTCCAATCATGGATCTTAATCTTAACCCAACCTTGCAGTGATACGTGAAGAAAAACAACTTTAAAAGATGCTCTGAGTCTTACTAGTAAAGCCTGATGTCCTGGTACAACTCCTGCTGATCTGGGTGAGAACTGCAGTTTTTTAAGACGACCTACCATTGAATTCTTTCTCTAAGTGACCAGTATACATATTTTCAGTAGAATTTTGTGGGTTTTTTATTTTTTTTCCTGTCTTTAGCACATTTGGTGGCTCAGCAAGTGGTATCTCTGTACTCTGAGACTTTTCCATAGCAACAGATGTTTACATCAGTCTTTGGTGACTTCATTGTGGTTTCACATGCGTTAAGAATGTCAGATGCAGTTCCTGTTCAAGCTACTTTGTTTGACAGCATCAGTTTGAAGACTGAAGGAGAAAAGGTGTAGAAATGTGAGTTAGGTTTAAAAAACATGGATCAATCTCTTTGTTTTGGATGACTGCGTTGAGTGGAAGGGAAAGTTATACAAATGGCTGAATATATAAATATATATATCATAAGCTTGTTTTATTTCTAGTATTGAAGTTCTCAAATATAATTACAGATGAAGTCCATGGATACAAGCTGTAAGGCAAGAGGTAACAGAAATAACTTCTGCTCTAATTAGCACTCAGCACTTAGGGAATGCTTTTCATTGTCATATGCCATGATTTCTGATCTTGTCCTTCCTCACCTGTGTGTAGAGCCATGTTCTCATCTCCTTTAGTTCTGAAGAAGTCTGAATTCCCATTGTGACTCAGGCTCAGCTCTGGCACAGATATTGGGCTCTCGGTTGCGGTTGACCTCCATATGTAGGCTTTCACTTGTGCTGTTCCACTGCAGGTGCTAACCTGAAAGTCACAAGGCAGTGATGTACTCTGCTAATTTATCTCCCTGTGGGTAAGATAGAGGGAATCTTGGAAGCAATTGTGTAGGCATATTCAGAAGAGTCAGCACTGACCTCTTAGGTGGACGGCGGCTGCTTTTAGTCCTCTCTTCTCAGTGACAAATCTTGTCTCGTGGAAGTCTGTAGAGCAGATGGGAAAGTGATGCAAACAATGCAGCAGCTCTGGAGAGAGGATCTTGAGTAATTTGGATGGTTTTTTGGATGTAACTTCTCAGTTACTGCCTAATACACAGGCATTGCAAAAGTCTCTTCAGTGAGTTGTGCAGTCAAGGGCAAGCCCAGAAGTAACCCCTTGATACTTTGGGCTATCTCTCATCTTTCTAGTGCTGATATCCCAGCACCAAGATGTGTTGCCTAATATGACTGATTGGCATTGCAGTGGAGATGCTTACTAACGTTTGTGCCTCTGCTACTAGAGGGATGAAGTGTTTCACCTTCCAATTGCACCTCTCAAATTAAATGAAGTCTTCCAAATCCCATCACCCAGCAGTGGGTTGGATATTAGGAAGAGCTGCTTCTCCAGAAGAGTGGTCAGGTACTGGCATGGGCTGCCTAGGGAGGTGGAAGGGGTCAAGAACTGTGGAGATTGTGGCACTAAAGGGACATGGCTTAGTGAGCAATACTGAGGGTGGTTGGACTTGGATGGTGTTGGAGGTCTTTTCCAACCTTAATGATTCGATGATTGTGAATCACTGAGTCCTTTTGGTTTTCCCATAATGGTCTTTAACGTAATTTGGCAAGAAATTGTGAACTGCACACCACTGAGAGCCACAGCTCAGCAGATGAACTTTAGAGTTGTTATCAGTCAGCAGAAATATCCTTTCAAGCACAAGTTAAGAGGAGCAGATGTGACCCATTGAGCAGCAGTTTTTCTTGTGCCTCTAACACTCCGGACAGTAATTGCAGCAGAGAACACAGAGGATGTGATAACAACATTATTTTGCTGGGAAGCCTTACCAGCAGGATAACCTGTGATGTGGTTTGATGCATTTCCTTCTCTCTCTCTTTTTTTTTTTTTTTTTTGTATGTGTTTTCAGTGAAATTTTCCTCTTTAAAAAGGCTCTTCAGTATGTGCATTAATGAAGTGTATCATAGCGACAGCAAAAATGCAACTTTGATCTTTCTTTAATAAGCGAAAGAACATGAAATAGTTTTGATAGCAGAGCCCGTTTCCTGCCCTTCAGCAGAGTACATTATCAGCTCACATTTGCAAATAGTGTTGTACCTCTATAACTCATTGCCTGTTACCAACTTCAGCATTAACAGTCATCAGCAAACCTAGAAGGTATTGAAAAGCCTAAGTTTTTTGGTTATCTCATTGGTAATGTTGAAGCCAACCTCATGGTTCTGCTTCAAAGTCTTCAATCCTTGTGCCAAAGCCCCTTTATTAACTCAGTTTTCTTCGCTGGAAGCTGCATTTCAAGATGCTGCATAAAAAAAATGTTGGGTTCCCATTGAGCAATTGTTGAGAGTGCCAAGTGTTAAGTCTTCTAATGTGAAAACACAATAGATAATCAATGTTTTTCAGTAAGAAGGAAGGATATTTTCATTACTGGCCTTCAAAGGGCTTGTTCCTGTTTTGATTTCTCTTTTTCATCATATATTTTAAGTACTTCTCTAGGCGTGTAGGTTATACATGGAACAATCTCCTCAGCCAGTTGTGTATGCCTTGAGCAGCTCCTCTCTGCTCTAGCAGGAAACTCCTACACTTCTGCCACCTAACATTTGCTTCTTTTCTCTCGCTCATTGAGTGCCTATTTCCTTTTGCAGAGGAGGCCCTTGGGTATTTTCACATTTGTTCATTGAAGTCATCGAGCAGCGTTGATTGGTGGTGGGGTCACCATCCCTGCAGGTGCTCAACACAGTTGTGGCTCTGAGGGACTGCCCAGTGGGCATGGTGGGATGGGTTGGGGTTGGACTGCGTGATCTTAGAGCTCTTTTCCAACCTTAGGGATTCTACTGACTTTTCACTGAGCTGTTTTGTAGAAAATGCAGCTCCCCGCAATCACAAAGGTAAGAATTGAAGTTTTCCTCTGGTATTTTCTCATGCTGAGTCATGAGAAAAAGGTCAATCCTTCCCTGACCTTTAAGAGTCTCTTTGACTACACTGAAGGGCCAGGATGGATTGGTGACTAATGATTTTCCTTTAATTTCTCCTGGAATTATTCACTGCCTTATGCACCACAGTCTGCACAATGCAGAGACCCCAGCACTGAATTCTATGAAGAAAGACTTGAGAAATGTTGCAGCAAGTGCCCTCCAGGTAGGTTCTAATTTAAATTATTCTTTTACACAGCCAAATTCAGCCAGTGCTCAGATGACCATACCACATTTTGGTTACTGACACACCTGAAAAGCATCCAGTTTTTGCTGTTATTATTCGCTCTCATCAGGAAGACAATAAAATGCTTAAAAAATATTTTCCAACGGGACACACTGTTAGTCAGAATTGGCATTCTCCTGCAAGTTTAACTTGGCTGGGGCTTATCAGGAGGATTGTGTACTTGTAACCACAGCTTTTGATGGTATTTTGATTGAAGCATTTTTAACTGAACTGTTAAAAAAAAAAAGAAATGGAACAGTAGTGAAATTACAAAAACTAAACAACGTAGAATTGCAGAATGGCTTGGCTTGGAAGGGACCCTTAAAAGGCTGCTTGGTCCAACTGCCTGCAATGAACAGGGGCACCCACAGCTCCATCAGTGCTCAGAGCCCCTCCAGCCTGAGACCCACATGAAAACAAAGCCCACGAACAACAGATAAATTGCAAAACAGAGCGTGAGGTAGAGCTTGATTTCTGTACTTTGACATGTCACTTACACAAGGGGCTTTCCACTGGGCAGGTTAATCTCTGATTGCTCATTAAGGGAGTTTTGTTGTCTTTTAGATAAATCAGACGCTGCAGATGTCTATCAGAGAGAGACCAGGTACAAGACTACGAAAACTGCCTGCTCTGAGGCTATGTCTGACACTGCACTGACCATTATTAATGTTCCTTTGTTAGCAAAAGTTGATTGCAGATTGGAGTTTGTGGAGAGTGGTTGTTTATTTATTTATTTTATGGTACAGGTAATGCCCTGTGGATACTTTAACAGAGCTTTTGCAAAAAGCTGGCATTGTATGGTTGTGTTAAAGGCAGCAAAAAAAGCCCTGTGTATTTGTCTCACAACATGCTGAGCAAATAGAATTTGTCTCCATAAGCGTTGAGTTCCTGTCAGAGAGATCCGGAAGTTTAAGCAGGAGATCAGTATGTGCTGAAACAGCCACAGTTGTTTGAATTAACTGAAAACATCCTGAGGGATCTGTCAAGCATCACTCGTGAAAAACACAGTAAGGGAAAGATGGTAATTTGTAATTGAAACTTTTTTCTGTTGTAGTTTGTTAAGTCTGTAAGAATACCTCCTCCCCTTAATTTAAACTAAAAGAGGGGAGATTTAGGTTGGATTTTAGGAAGAAATCTTTTACTCAGAGGGCAGTGAGGAGCTGGCACTGCTGCCCAGAGCTGTGGGTGCCCCATCCCTGGAGGTGCCCAAGGCCACAGATGGGCCCTGGACAGCCTGAGCTGGTGGGGGGCAGCCTCCCATGGCAGGGATTGAGACTGAATGGTCTTTGAGGTCCCTTCCAACCCAACCATTCTAGGATTCTGTGATTCTAAGATTAATTTTATTGTTTTGACTCTGGGCAATGTCTTGTAGGAGGGCCAAAGATCTTTATTTTTGTTGCTATGAATTTGAATTATTATTGTTTTTTAATAATAATGCATCAAAATTTTTAGCCTAAAGTCATTAGCAGGATGTCATTAGCAGGATGGAGGAGGAGGCTGCAAGTAAGTACATGGAAAAACAAACTTGGGAAGCAATTTCCCTGGCTCACCTCCAGGGCCACTTGTTTTGAAGAATGGAGATTTTCCAAGAAGTTCCAAAGACTTTCTTAACGATGCCTCTTCCTGATGACTCTTCAGGCTATTTCTGTGCAGGATATGAGACACTGGCTGTTATCTTCTTCTTTTTTTTCGTACAAGGGGGAAATGGCGCCTGACTGTTTTTCATTCTTTAAAAAGAATACTTAAGAGCTCATACTGATTGTAACTACTGCACTCAACTCTGTTTCTGGTGAGAAGCATTGGTTTGCCTCTCACCAAAAACCACTTGCTAAAACCTGTCTGTTCACCGCACTGTGATCCTGGAGAAGCTGAAATTGAGCAGATCCTGGTATTGCTTGGAGTGCTAGGAGCTGCAGAAACTCATTGCTTTGGTTGTTTTGTTTCTTACAGGTCAACGTAAGGCAGAGAGCTGCGGTGGCAGCATGGACACAAAGTGCATCCCTTGTTTACCTGACAGCCATACAGCCATCCAGAATCTGTCTCCTCAGTGCTTTGCTTGCTCTCCACCCTGCAGGAAAGGTACCTGTGCATTGTGAAGGAGGTGTTTGCCTTTTACAGCCTGCCCAAAGAGATGGCTTGGTTTAAAGGAGGACGGTTGGACTAAGTGATCTTGCAGGTCCTTTCCAACCCTTTCGTTCTATGATTCTATGAAATGTGACTGGGAAAACTCGTAGAGTGTTTGTCTGTCACCTGTATAGTCCTGTTCTTAATGCTTTTGCTGCTTGTTAAATTTTGGAAAAAAATTAAGAGCACGGCCTTGGAGGTGTATGTATGGTTATGATACGCTGTGATGCAGCTGCAGACAGAGAGTTTCAAGTGTGACTGGTATGGATGCAAATTTCACCTCTCTAGACAGACAAAACTCTTCTAAAAATGTAGATGTTGGGGCCCGTAGTGTATTTGCTTTAAGATGATATTCTAGCCAGAAACTGCAAAATTGTCTTTAGTTTGTGGTGTGTGAGCACGCCTCATATTCACCCAAAACATTGCAGACCACAATTTGAAGTGTTGCAAATGTAATCTTGTTTTATTCTTGTTTTCAAAACAGGATTTGTAGAGCGTCACACGTGCACGCTATCACAGGACAGGACCTGCAGCTGCCCACCCAGCAAGTACTGCATTTCAAAGATGTAAAGTGCATAAAAAATGGGGGAAAGGTTACCGAGTCTCCAGAAGAGGTAATTTAATTCTCAGCTCTCAGAACTCACACACACAATGGTTGTATGGTTTGAAGATGGTTATTTGTTGCCTTCATAGTCGTAAATGTTTCTAAATCTGCCTCCAATTTGATGAATTATAGGAATGGTGTCTTAATTCCTACAGTTGTTTCCAAATCTGCTTCCAACTGAGTAAATTACAGGAATATTCATTTAATTCCCTACAGCTACGTGTTCATTTGAATGGAAGTGTTGTCACAGCAAGTAGGCAGTACATGGCACAACAGTATTACCAAGGGGAATGTCCAAGGGAACAGAATATGGGTGCCTTTTGTTGACATACCAGAAAGCTCCCCAACACAAGCAGAGCTTCCAGCTGAATTTTGGTTTAATTAGGCGATGGTGACTCTGTGCTGCCCTGTAGAATGAGTCTCTGTGTATTAGATGTTGAAATTCACCACTCTGATAAGCACAGCTGTCTCAAGATGATAAATAATATCCAAAGATGTAGAACGTTGGATATAATTAAGGATAATAATACAGAGCTCCAACAGAGTTCAGTAGGTGATCAGCCTACCAGGGACTAGTGGGAAAAAGCTCCACTGTTGTCTCTAATGCCCCCTTTTTAACATTTTGGTAGGTTTTAACAGTCTGAAAATGGCTGGCTACCAAGAGCACCAAAATAGCACCCGATGAATCTTCTGATCTGTGTTTGGGTGGGGTGTTTCAGATTAACCTCACCCATGACAGACTGTATGTTGTGTACTGCCTCTGTATCAATTTCAGGATCTGCACCGCAGACTTAGATTATTCATTCTTATTTCTCACTAGATGACTAACTGGAGTTTTCTATTTCTTTTAAGGAACAGAAACACAGACACAGAATGTAAGCCCTGTCCCCGGTAAGATTCAGATGAGGAATCTTATGATACCAGCTGCATACTACATACAGTGTAAGCCAGATTCTGTTTAATAGCAATCTTTAACTGAAGACAGGGTTGCTTTCTTTCCTAACTTCTCTTTTTGTTTCTTGCAGTTGTAAACCAGTGGCTGTTGCAGGAAACGGCGTGAATGTTGCTGTTTGCCATGACTCAGTTGCCACATTTCTGCCTCACACTGTTATAAACCTCTTCCCCCCAAGCTAAAGCTCAACTTCCAGCAATGGTGAAGTAGTAACACAGCCTGTCATTCTCAACTCCGTGCCTGACATGTCCTACATCACTGGTAAGTTGTTAACTCGTTTAAAGTCACTTCTGTCTGGCTTGGAAGCAAGATTATCTTTAGTTGACAGTTTCTTTCCAAAACCAATTACCTGCACCCAGACAGAAGAGCTGAGTTAATTCAGTGACACTGCTTGTGTTGGGTTGCATAATGTCACATCTGTCCTGCCTTGCCGCATTCCACAGTCACTGTAATTCTTTATGTGTTTCTAAGAAGCCCGGAATTAGATGATACAATGCACTTCCTGAGAGTTAGTGCTATAAAAGCTGGAAGAAAAGGTTTATATGTTAGATGTTTGGCCAAGCCTGACTAACAGCAGCCCAATCTTTATAGCGTTCACAAGTGTGGACGTATTCTCTGCTGTTCATAGTCTGTCCAAAAGGCAGCTGTGTTTAAGAGCATTATGGACTGCCTGAATTTGTATTTAATGAACTGCTCCTAGCTTAATGAGATACTTTTTATTGCCGTGGTGAAAAGTCTGTCTTCACATTTCAGAACAGGAAAATTCAGTTTTAAGAACCAGTGGAGTCTGAAAACAAGACTTTGGTATGTAACAACAGAGATATTAAATGTGACCATCAGACCTCCCTGGCACTTTCAAATTTAGCTGTTATAGCCATGGACAGAAAGCTATTGCTTCTCATGCAGTCCATTGTCAGACTGACCTGCTATATAACTTACCTGCTTCAGTTTTATTTTCAGGATCAGTGACAGGGTCGTTGTTATTGGGCCTGATAATTGCTGTTATGGGGTATTGTTTATTCTCCAAAAAAAGAGGTAAGATTCATGAAACAAAACCAAACAGCTCTGGAAGTACTGTCACCTCATTTCCTGCTAATTTGAGCCCAGCAGGTGACCGATTTATGTATCCTAGCAGGCACTGGCTCTCTTTGAAACTTGTGAGTCATGTAGATTCATTGATGACATAAGCATGCACCAACTGAAATTTATAATTAAGTAAATATGCCAGGAACATCGTGTGCATTTCAAGTGTCTTTATTAAATCACGGAATGAAATTGGGCTCAGGACAGCGATACACTAAGGCAGATGTCCCGCTCAGAGCTCTCATGTTGCTCAGATTTTAAACATGTGGTGTACCAGAGGAGTTGGACAACTGTGAAACCGTTGTGCTCCTACTGGAACTTGTTTGTTACATATTTTACACGTAATGTAAATATTACACATTATCAAGTGCTGATAGTTACGATTAAACGACTGCAGCCATAGTCGTTCATGAGTGAGAGCTGTTCTCAATTACACAAAACTAGAAATAATAGGAATTTATACAGAGGGTCTTCTTAATACTGAAATTTATGGCAGCTTGTAAAGTTAATAGAGTACAACTTTCAACACTATGCACTAAACATACAGTCGATGTTTATTCTGGGAGCAGAGGCTCCATTAGCTAAAAAAGCAGCTGTTGTAACTGCAACAAATTTTGCTGCTAATGAACCATCTTTCCTCAATTGCAGCCCTTGCATACTCACAACCAACTGAAGCAGTGGATTTGATGAGTGTCACTCACTCCTTTCCTTCAGAAATCATGCAGTTTTATGTAACTGAGAGCATAAGAAAACTGCACAGCAGGACAGTGAGGAAGGAGTGGCCTGGACCTCAAGCTAGAGTAGAAGGTGTAACTCGCATAACCTGTCCATTGAGCTCATTGAATGGCCAATGAGCTAGTATGAATTTTACTTGGTGTACATTTGCATAGTGATGACTATTATCAGTGGTTTCTTTAGATAAGTATTGACCACTTTTTGTTAACACTTTTAAAAAAGATTAATAGTTTGCATTGTTCTGCTTCAGCCGTTTTCCTCTACAGAGAAGCAGTGTGACAAAAAAAAGTAAGAAATGCGGAATTGCAAAGCTCCAGCAGTTCTGAACAGGAGGAGCAGCATCTCTTGGAAACTCCTGGCCCAAGCAGCAGCTCCCTGGATAATCCAGCTGGATCTGCAAGAGTCAGTGTAATAAATAACAAAGACAGGGATAAGAAAGAAAGTTTCCAACAGCATTATGCAGCTGCAGAAGGGTGTAAGCTTCGCTGTGGAGCCAGGCACAGCTCTGCAAGTACAGGTAAGAGTGTCAACGAATGCATATCTGAACATTCCAGAACCTCTTGACGGTTGTCAAATACAAATCTTAATAGGAGTTTAAGTGAGAGGGTAGAGCATCAGATCCACGTTCATCAGAGTGCCCAGTTACTTTTGGAAAAAGGTTGTTTTAAATTGTTGGCCTAGAATAGTGAAGAGAGCATGCTCAGAGGAGAAAATTATCTGCACACTTTGGGGATCAGAGTAATGGGAGTGGGACAAGGAGACAAAGAGAGCAGTAAGAAATGAACGCTGTCTGAAGCATTCACCACGAGCAGAGACTCGGCTGGGATCCAGAGCTCTGTATTCATTTTTACAGCTTTTTTATATCAGGGATGACTTTGGGATTTGAGGGACTCTCCAAAAACTGAAAAAGTTGCAGAATCACTTCCACCAGTTTGCCTAAATCAAGCAAAGGAAGAAGATGTAGAGTATGTAATTGAGCTTTTAAGCCAAAGAACTTGATAAAGAATCCAACATATTGTTCCAGGCTGCTTTCTTCCTTGCTTGATCTGTGTGTTTCTTTCTTATTTGACAGAACTCTCAGGTAATGGAGGAAGGCAGGTGAGTGTGACTCGTGTTGTTAAAATATGTAATCCAGATTATGGCTCCCAGGTTCCAGAACAGACTGGTCCAGCTGGCATGGATTATGGAAGTGCTCAATGTTCTCCAACAGGGGGAGAAGCTCCCCTTTCAAAAGAAGAAAACCCCTTGAAAAAAGAAACTGAAATTCAGATATTGGTGGAAGCCAAAGACAATTTACTTCAGGATTAACTTCTGGACACAGAATTCTCCTCTGGGTGTTCAAGATACGGGGATAAAAACTGTTTCAAGGAAATGACAGATTTTATACTGTTTGACTGATAATCAGATCAGCCCTTATGTTCACAACCAAACGTGTTTAGTGTAGCATTTCTACAGATTTGAAATCTCAGAAGAATTTACTTTTTTGAGGTTTTCAATCTCTTCTTTGTCAGCTTTGAGAGTAAAAGATGAGTTTTGAATTAGTTACTATTTTTTAATGCTTACCGATCTCAGGTAATGAACTCTCTCTTGAAGGTTGCGTAGAGTAATCTATAAAAACTGGAAGTGACCCAGACCTCAGAACCAGAAAATCCTGTTCCATCGTTCATTTGTTGCTCAGTGCTGAGATCCATCCACCCACTTCTTATAGAAAATCAGTAGCACAGCATCTACTCTGCGAATGCAGATGAGAATCAGGCTTTTAAAACACATACTTTAAACTTGCGTATAACCTAAGAGGTTTATTCGTACTTCTAGAACAGAGAACTGGCAAATAGGTCTTTCATCCTACTATGAATTTTATTTTATAACTTCATGTTAAACTTGAAGGTCATTTGATTTTGTATAATGCCCTTTTCTGTTGTACTGAGTTTTTTAATGTCTTACCCAACAGCTCCCAGTGCTGGGAGCACATTGGAAGAGCAGTGTCAGAGTTTTGAAGAAGTTTAAGATTATGTTATAGAAGTTAAATTTCTGGGTTTTCAGAGTGTGGAGCAGAGAGAAGGGGAATTCAATTCTTATGCTGAAGTATGAAAAATGTGTTTGTATTTGTTAAGAAAAAGATAAATAGTGTGTTTTTATACTTAAACCTTTGTTTTCTACCTCCCTACTGAACCAAAATTCTACTTTTTAGAAGGGCTTGTTTCATTCTATAGGCTAAACCATTGCTTTTAAAGTCAAAATTGTATTTCATAGTACGTAATTAAAAGAGCATTGATCCATGGCCACCTCATCTCCTATTGCCTACCGCCAGGCCCTGTTAACAAGGACACTATAAGCAACCATTACTCTTGGAGTGATGGCTTCAGTGGACAAAGGAAGGGCAACTGATGTTGTCTAGACTTATGCAAGGCTTGTGACATGGTCCCACACCACATACTTATCTCCAACTTGGAGAAGTAAGGATTTAAAGGGTGGACTATTCTGTGGATAAGAAATCAGTTGGATGGTTGCAGCCAGAGGGTTGTGGTCAATGTCTCTCGGTGCAGGTGGAAGCCAGTGATGAGTGGGGTCCCTCAGGGGTCCCTCAGGGGACTGGTGGTCTTTGTTATCTTTATCGGTGACATAGATGATAGGATGCAACAGTTCAGATGACCCTAAACTGATTGCTGCAGTTGACACCATAAAAGGGATCCATCCAAAGAGGTCTGGACAGGCCTGAAAAATGGGCCTAGGAGAACCTAATGATGCTCAGCAAGTCCATGTGCAAGGTGTTGCACTTGGGTTGGGGAAGTCCCACGTCTGTGTACAGACTAGGAGAAGAACTGCCTGACAGCAGACCTGCAGAGAAGAACTTGGGAGTTCTGATGGATTCCTGGGCTCCATTAGAAGAGGTGTGGTCAGCAGGGACAGGGAGGTGATTGTCCCTCTCTGCTCTACTCTTGTGAGGCCCCATCTACAGCACTGTGTCCAGGTCTGGAGCCCCCAGTACAAGAAAGACAGGGAGCTGTTGGGGAGGGTCCAGAGGAGCCACAAAGATGATCAGGGGGTTGCAGCACCTCCCCTATGAAGACAGGCTGAGGGACCTGGGCTTCTTCAGCTTGGAGAAAAGAAGGCTGCAGGGTGACCTCATTGCAGCCTTCAGTACCTAAAGGGAGCCTGCAAACAGGAGGGGAGTCAGCTCTTGGAAAGGATAGATACAAGGGGAGGACAAGGGGAAATGGTTTTAAGTTGAGGGAGGGAAGATTGAGGTTGGATGTCAGGGGGAAGTGCTTTACAGAGAGTGGTGAGGTGCTGGAACAGCTGCCCAGAGAGGCTGTGGATGCCCCGTCCATCCCTGGAGGTGTTCAAGGCCAGGTTGGATGGGGCCCTGGGCAGCCTGGGCTGGTATGAAATGTGGAGGTTGGTGGCCCTGCATGTGACAGATGGCTTGGAGATTCATGATCCTTGAGGTCCCTTCCAACCTGGGCTGTTCTGTGATTCTGTTATTCCATGTGTGTGCTTGCAGCTAATTGTGTCCTGGGCCAGGAGGGATGTGGAGCTGTTGTAGCAGGTCCAAAGGAGGGCTGTGAAGATGCTCAGAAGGCTGGAGCACCTCTCCTATGGAGAAAAGTTGGGGAAGCTGGGCTTGTTCAGTCTGGAGAAGGCTCCAAGGAGGCCTACTGCAAGGAGACCTTGCTGTAATTGAGGGGTGATTATAAAGAAGAGGGAGAGCAACTAATAATAATGATAGGTCAAGCGGGAATGATTTTAAACTGAAAGATGGGGGATTTAGGTTAGATGTTACGAGGAAATTCTCTGTGCTCAGAGGCCTTGGCAGTGCTGCCCAGAGCTGTGGGTGCCCCATTCCAGGAGATGCCGATGGCCACTGATGGGCTCTGGACAGCCTGAGCTGGTGGGGGCACTGAGCCCATGGCAGGAACTGGGGCTGGATGGGCTCCAACCGAAGCCATTCTGTGCTGTGAACCTCCAGCCTGGCCAAACTGAACTTTAATGCTTTGAAGAGCCAACTCGTTTACTGTAAATCGTGCACTGCTGTAGTTTACACACCCGCAGCACGGATGGAGGAGTCAATACTCTTCAGTTCTGTGTAGGTTCAGCGCTGATTCCCGCACAGCCAGGCTGCGGTCTCGTACGTCAGCCTGCAGCAACACAAGGGGGACAGCGCTGCGCCGCGAGCGCAGGAACAACACTCGGGCACAGCAACCCCATTTCCTCAACAAACCCTACACCCCCAGCGCTGCCCCTCGGCGTACAGGATCCACAGGACCGCCCCCCGGGGCGGCGTAGCACGGAGCAGCCTGGTTCCGCCCCCTAAGAGGCGGAGAAGCTCCCATCGATCGTTCTGCGCTCCCCTCCCGCCCGGCTCCGCTTCTTCCCTTACGCCGCTCGGCCGCGGAGCGCTCGGCCCCGCGCAGCGCTGCGGAGGTGGCGGTGGGCGAGAGCTGAGGTGAGTGGCGGCGGGCGGGGCGGGGCGGTGCTGAGCGGGACGGCATGGGACGGCACGGCACGGCGGCTCCGGGCCTCGGCGGCGCTTCCTTCCTGCGTCAGCCCGAGCTGCGCGGCGCAGGCCCGGCTCTCAGGGGCTCCTCCCCACCTCACGCCCCTCTCCGTGCTCCGCCCCGCGGTCCCGGGGCTGCGAGGGGCTCCGGGTTTGCTTCTGGGCTGCCCTCGAGCTTTTCCCACACGGCTGAGGCCGCCCGGTTCCTCGGCTCTGCCCGCCGCCTGTGAGCAAGGTGACCTTTCGCTTCGCCTCTCCCCCAATCCGCTGTGCCAACAGGTCTCGTTATTTCTCTCTTCCCTACGATCCGTACCTTTGTACGAAGGGGGAGGAAATGTGTGTGTTTGTGGGGGGGGGGGGGCGCCGCTCCGCGCCTCTTTTGTGCGCGTGTGGGCTGGAGCGGAGCGCCCACAGCCCTGTGAGGAGAGCGGCCCCAAAGGGCGCCTTCGTGTGAGCGGCGCCGAGTGACGGCCTGCCTCGTTGTTCTCGTCCTGTGAATGCTCACGCTTGGTTTTGAAAAAGCGCAGATATTATAGAGATTTAAAACAAACAGACAAACAAAAGACAAAACCTGAGTCTGAATCTTAAAACTTGACGTTTAGCTCTTGAAGTTGTGACTTTGTATTGACGTAGCTTTAATGTTATGCCAGGCACTGCTGCCCAGAGCTGTGGGTGCCCCATTCCTGGAGGTGCCCATGGCCATGGATGGGTCCTGAGCAGCCTGAGCTGGTGGGCGGCAGCCAGCTTAATGCAGGGTTTGGGGCTGGATGGGCTTTAAGGTCCCTTCCAACCCAAACCTTCATTGGATCAAACTTTTCTCTGTAGAACACGGTAGAGCCTAGAGCTTTCTATGGTCTCCTTACCACAAGCTGAAACAAATGATCGCAGAAGAGAATGAAGGGAAATGTTGACACGTACAGTCAGTGTTGCTTTTCTGATCCTTTTTCTGTGCCTTGCTGCTGTTATCTATGCTGTTGCTTTGAAGACCAGATCGAGTAACTGCCCCATCCCTGGAGGCATTCAAGGCCAGGCTGGATGTCGCTCTGGGCAGCCTGGTCTGCTGGTTGGCGACCCTGCACACAGCAGGGTCTAGCAGTTGGAACTAGATGATCATTGTGGTCCTTTTCAACCCAGGCTATTCTGTGATTCCAGCTGTTAATAAGCTATTTAACTGGCTTGTATCCAGTTATTTCCCACTCATATACTTTTCCCCCAAAAAAGGTTTGGGTAGGGTGAGTTGTTTTGCATATGTCACTTAGGAATCTTGCAAGAATAGGGTCAAAGACTTTATGGTATGGTGTGGTGCAAATGCCAAATTGCCTTCTTCCTTTTCTGCTAGAATGGGAGCTGTGTTTCCAGGTCTCTGTGCCATGGGTGTTTGCTCCTTTTTACAGTGTCTGATCTTCTCACAGTAGCAGCCTTCTAGTAGAATAATTGCTGAGTCCAGAAAGTTTGTGAAGGAGCATGATATAGAATGGGGTAGAAGAAGCAGTATCAGTGTGATCAGCCCTTCACGGAATCATCACAGAATGGCCTGGGTTGAAAAGGAGCACAGCACTCATCCAGTTTCAATCCCCTGCCATGTTCTGCGGGGTCACCAACCAGCAGCCCAGGCTGCCCAGAGCCACATCCAGCCTGGCCTTGAATGCCTGCAGGGATGGGGCATCCACAGCCTCCTTGGGCAACCTGTTCCAGTGCCTCACCACCCTCTGGGGGAAAAACTTCCTTCTAATATCCAGTCTAAACCTCCCCTGTCTCCTCCCCCTTATATAGGGAAGGAACACTGCCCATTGTGAGAACTGACAGATGTGATTTTATTAGAGAAGGGGGCACAGAGATGCCTGTTTTTGCAGACTAGGCTTCCAAAATCAGTGTACCTGCAACTTGAAGTAAATACAATGGGCAGTGCAAAATGGCTTCAGATCAAAGTGGAAAGAAGGTTGCTAATTGACATGGTTGATAATTGCCATTAAACATGGTACTTTGGTTAGACATAGGATGGAGAGATAAATTTAAATTGCCTATAGAAGTAAACTAATCATTAAAGCTCTATATGAAGCTTTGTGATTTGGGACTTCAATAATGCGGCATAAGGTTGGTTTCTCCCTTTAAAAATGCTTTAATATTTTAGATTGGCTACAGAGGGAGTTCATGGTAGCAATGTCTGTGGGCAAGGTGAGACTTATTTCAAACACTCATTTATTTCATTATTATTATTTTCCTTTCAGATTGAGACTGCAGTTATGGAACAGAGAACCAGAAAATGACAGAAAAATGTTAGATGCTCTCTTCTAGGACACAGTCATGTTGGAAGGGTTGGTAGCCTGGGTCCTCAACACCTATTTGGGCAAATATGTCAATAACCTGAACACAGATCAGCTCTCTGTTGCTCTTCTGAAAGGTGAAGTTCTGTTGCGTTTTCTGTAATGTTTTATGCTGTGATTTAAGGAGAGAAGTGTTTTTGTTTCTATTCCATCTCAGAGTTAACACTGTCAGTTAATATTGCGTTTAACATTTTGTATAAATGCCTCTAATAAAGTTTTGTGCCAGCGCTTTGCAGTGAATGGTAAATTCTCTTGCATTTCTATCTCTGTTGTTTCTTGTCAACATTGTTAAACCAATTTATACAAGATTTTCACATGTATGCTTAGCCTATCTTAATAGCTCACTTGATTTATGTAATGTTTGAATATCATTTTCCTTAATGCTGTTCGTTAACTTGCCTTTTAAGGGACTGTGGTGGGGAGTGTTCTGTAGTCTTTACCTCTTTTGTTTTGGT